AAAAAGATACATTTTTTAAATAAATAAGTTGACATATTTTTCCTTGAATTCATGGGTCCTTTTTGTTTACTCTTTTCCCTTTTCTTTTAGTCTTCATTTTAACTGTAGTCTTAACTGATTACTTCAAAGGATTGTATTGGGAAATAATACAGTGGTGACAATGTAAACCTTCCCTGATTTATTCCTTTCAGAAGTTGCATTGTGATCGATGGCAAGTCGTATGGAAGTGAAGATGATTATACAATGATGTGCAGAATATGACTTGCTTTACTGCTCTGTAGGTGTTTTCAGAAGCTGTGTGTGTGTAGGACCATCTGGACACTGATGTTAGCGCAGAGTGTGACTGCTTGCTAATTTAGTGTTTTACTCAGAGAGCACTGTTTCTCCATAGTCTGCATGAAGTATGTAGTTTTAAGATAAGGCCACTCAAGCTGGTTTTGAAGTCCAGGTGTTGTGTACGCTGGTTTCCTGTTTTCTTTGTCAGTTTCTGACTTCCTGACCTCACTGTCATTCTCTTCAGCAGTCTGCTGCGTAGTCCACATGCTTTCCGGCTGAGCGAGATGATCTTATTGACCAAGTAGTTTACTTTAGACAAGTGCTGCTTCTAGAAAACAAGTAATTCTTTAATTTGGCAAGTACTTTTGGGGAGAGAAGACAAAGAGGAAAAACCTTATTTTTCCTGTTTCAATATGGAACTTCAACATTTTATTAATTCTTTGTATTTACAAAGTTCCAACTTTTTAAAGTGCTTCAAAATGCTTCATTCATTCCAAACTAGTTCCTTCCCCTTTATTTGGGAAGGTGGAAAACCTTCAATTTAGAATGAACTCAAAATGAAAATATTTTAATATCACTTTAAAAAAGAAAAAAATTATCTGAGGACGGCTTCTGAGCTCCTTTGAGATCAAATAGATTCTAGGCACTCTCTGACTTCTCAGGTTATTGTTTCACAGTTAGCTGAAGGCTAAATTCATTCCCTTTCACCCCCATGTGCATTCCTATTTAATTTGCTGTAATGATTCTGTGAATAGCAATTTGTGTGCTGATTCGACTAGTAACTAACCCCACAAAACAAACAAACCCACCCCAGTCCAAATGGACATATCAGAAAAGTGATAAAGTAGTATGTAGTAGTGTGTAAATATGGCAGGAGGAAAAGAGCAACAGAATCCTCTGGGAATACCCACACCTTGACTAACCTAAACTATTGGTGAAATGGGAGATCAGACTTTCCTTGAGTGGTTGCCCAGTTGTGGAGGTGGAGCTGTGGAATTTTAGTGCAGGAGCCTTAATTCACCTAATGTCAGACAAACGTCGTTCAATAGCTCTGTCCCCGTTAATACTCTAGCTTACAACTTAATCCTTTGGGAATTACATGAAAATAAAGAAATGAGAGTTTGGAGACCATGCAAAATATCTTCTTATACATGCAAATTCTTTATTCATAGTCAAAGCATAAAAGCCCTTGAGTAGCATTTCTATGCAGAGATCTTTGTAATTTTTTTTTTTCTAGTCTTCTAAAAAGTTTCAGGCTCCATCTCAATGTTCTCTTATTTTCTTGTCCTGAATTCTGCTTTTTCACCTCCTTCAGTGTGGGATGCTTTTCCTTTGTCCAAAAAAAAAACCAAAACGTTATATCTCATAAATTGCCTTAGTTTGCAAACAGTGGTTTGCAAAACTTCCACCTTTCCAGACATTTTAACAACTGATCTTAATGTGATTTATTTGATCCCTTTTTGTAGGTTTTAAAAGGATTTGAAATTGGTCTTAGTAGCAGGTAATTAATTTCACACATTCATTGATGCAGCATCTTATGAAATCCTGTAGAATTCCTGAATTGTATAGAAGAAGGTTCTCCAACAGTCACATACACTGTGGTAATGCAGCTGGCCACACAGCTTGGGCAGCACGCTTAAAAACATGGACAGTGTTGTCATTGTGCTGTACCAAGATGGGGCATCACCATTGCTTGTCATCCTGTAATGTTAGAGGCCAGTTTTTCATCATGTAGGACAACATAAGAAGTTCCTTCTCTCCTCACAGCATATTTTATTATGAGCTTTGCAATTCACCAGAACCGATGGCTGTATCTCACCCTCCTTGACCAGCCCAAACCTCTAGGTTTATTTTTACTAGATCAAAATAGAGGCTTTGTTTCATTTTACACAAGCACAAATAATTGTCAAATGCTCCAATTAAGGCTAAACATTGCATTTCTTTCTCCTCATTTCAGACTGACTGTATTTAATTATTGTGCTGGTGTTCACTATATATATTAATTTGGGATATACAGCTATGCCTGTTGACTGTTATCGGGCAACTGGTCTGTTCTCCACTATACACTGAACTTACCTAGAAGTTTCCTTCAAGCTCAGTCACTGATGCTGCCTTGTCAAAGTAGCTTAGCTCTAGCAACTTCTAAACTAGTAGTTTTTTCTTGCCTAAAGGGTACTGTCTGGATATTATTTTGTTCACTGTGTGTCATTTTTCAATAATATTTGATGACCTAAGAAAGATTTTGTTGGGATATAACATCAAGGTTATCCTCAGAGTTGTTTGAATGATGGACTTCAGAAAGTAAAGCATTGAAGAACATGACTGAATAGCCACTTTATAATTTTATGAGACTGTTTTTAACTATGAGATAGTGAGGCACGTAAAATCTAATTTTATGTATTTTTACCACTGCAAAAAGAAGTTGAGCTGATTTGTGTAATAGTGGATTGCTGAAGGAATTACCACAGGAAGTTTAAGAACAGTCAAGATTGCTCTTGGATGGATTTCTTGAAGAATGATTTGGAGGAATTTTGATACACATTTACCAGTAATATGGGAAAGAGCTGAAGCATTGTACAGAAATTATTTTAGAGAACAAATACTAGTTTGAATCTGTCTTGCAGAATATAGTGTAGGTGAATGGAATAATCATAAGGCACATAATGATAGGTAAGGTAAGATACTTGATTTATCAGCATTAATCTTGTCCAAACATGGAAGATGGTTGATTTCTATCTAAATACAGGAGAGTGGTGAAAGAGCTAATTCTAAGTAGTGCTTGGCACATACATTTTCCAGTTATTTTAATGGGCTTTGCAAGCTCAGCATTTGTCAGAGATCAGACCTTAAAAGCCCTCCGGTGAGCCACATCTGTGGTCCAATATTTGAGCAAGCTTATTAATATGTTTTGTGAATTATAGTATGTGTTTAATAGGAATTGTACAACATTAATTGGTGAACAGCAGATTTATTCCAACAGCAGGACTGGTATTATAAGTCATCATTAGGTAGCTTGGCAGTTCTGCAGTGAATAGTTCCAGTAATCCATACTAATCGGTTCTTCGCTCTCCACAGGTGGTTTACAGATCTGTGGATAAATCAGAAGAAAGAGGCAGCTCTGGCCACAAAAGGTTCCTGCAGTGAACATGCAGAGGAATAGTTTGCCTTTCTGCTAAAATGAGGAGCAGATGTTGTTATGCCCCTCTGCTCCCCTTAAAATGTCTTTGTTTTGGGTTGTTTTTCTAACCTCAGAGGTGGCTAAAGAACAGAGCTGAGAAAGAAAGAGTGGCTCTATCAACTCTTTAATGTCCATCTGCTTTGTAGAGATTGTTCTAGGGGTCTGATGTGGTTAATTTCTGATCTCTGGTCCAGAATTGCAGTCCAATAGCATGTGTTTCTTTTCTCTGTCATATGAACAGTAGCTTCCCTCTTCTCTGGGAATTACTATTGGGATTTAAAAGAAGAGAGTTCCATGTGATTTCCTTGTAATCACATCCTTGACCAGCTCTGCCTAGGATATTTTGACATTGTACTCAGAGATTTGCAGCTACTGTGCAGTGTTGGGAATATTTCCCTTGTGCCATGTAGAATATGGTGTTGTCAGACCTTGTTCAGATGTGGTGATACATAAGAAAAAAAGAAAGAGTCTAAAATAAAGAACACGGTGGTGTTCATTGACTAAAATAAGTGGGCCTTCATGTCCAAGACAAAAAAACTAAGGTCTTCTCTGGAAACTTGTCAGGAACAGTAGAAGCATCATGGTCAAAGATGTGATGAATCTTTCTTGAAGAGCTTTGATGCTGTAGATGTGCCTTTCACATGTGAGGACTGATTCATGGGTTTTGCCACTATGTAGAAGAGAAGGATTTGAGAGGTGGAGGGGAGGGTTTTTTTCCCTGGCTCTCTACAAAATGGAAGGTGATTTTTTATTTTTTAAAAATAATTTCTATCTATCTTGGAAGCCATTGGTGCTAATCTTGTAATTTTCATTAGGAAAAATTATGAGGATCCTCTTTATTGAAGACAGCATTTGGTATTACTACACAGTTTTTAAAATTATACCTTTTTTGAGAGGCAGCATTTCTGCCTGATCTACCAAAAAGGAACCTAGAAACCTTTCTAAAGAAAACATTAGATTACATCCATGTTTCTAAATGCTTCTTAAGTTAACAGTTCTACTTAGAGGGTTTCAAGAGCACTTTCTATCTTCGTCAGATAACTAAAGAAAAAAATCACTAGTTAACTTACATTCTTTTTTTTTTGTCTCTAGTCAAGAAGAGTATCTAAGCAATGCTCTTGGCAGGCTCTTTTTTTTTTTTTTTTTCTTTTATTCTTTCCTTGTTTTTCAGATTGCATCTCTTCCCATCCCACACCCCAAAAAATCAGAATCAGTTTACTATGTCTCCAAAAATTCTTTTATGAAAAATCAGGCTGGGCTTGTTAAACTATCTTCAAATGAAACTATTAGGATATCTGCAAAAATTAGTCTGTTCCTTCAGATATCTAAATACTCATATTTTTTGCTCTTGATTGCACCTATTGCGTATCTTTAATATCATTTCTTAAAAACATCGTTATTATTTAAGTGATTTCTTCATTCTTTTCTTGATACTATAGCATTTGTTGATCCTCAATTTGAAGAACTGTCTCATTTTAGTAATTATCACTGTTAGTTTTTCACAGGTGTTATGTTCTTCATGTATTCCTACAGGTGTCTTCTGTAAGGTTGTGATGTGCTTTGTGCCCTTTTATCAGATGGATTAATACACTTTCTCTCAGACTTTTTTTGTGTGTAGTGTTAAAACAGTCTAGAGCCCTACAAGTGCCAGCCCCGATTGGAGCTGTAGTACAGAAAGCAGACAGCTCTTCTTTCTGCCTGCTGCAACATCTTACTGAAAACACCAAACACTCAACCTTATATACTAAATAATCTGTCATCTGTAACATTTAAGAACTCTGATACAGCAGCAGCTGCCTCTGCCTACAAAACCTTGCTGTACATACACAAAAGGAGGAGAGAATCTGAATTCCTTATCAAAGTCCCAGTTCAGAAAGTGTGGGTTTTATCATTGGGATTTACAAAAATTAAGAGCTCTAAGGAGCTCTAAAAGGAAAGATGTGAAGTTAAACCCTAACCAAAAAAGTCAGTGTTGAAGAGGGCAACCTACAACAAGTCCTCAGGCAGGTCCTGAAGCACCTTATTTCTGGAAATCTCACGTTTCTTGTGTTTTTCACTGTGGAACCAAAAGTGGGAGCTGTCAAGAGTTTCAAGAGGGTGCCAAGCTGACCCTCAGCTGTGTCTCAGCCTGCTTTATTTCTGAGAGAATTGTTCTGGCATGTTCACACAGACAGGCATAGATGAAGATCTTTTGGGGAGGGGGGTGACTCCTATGTGAAAAACAACAGAAATACTCTTTTTCAGTAGCTGGGCAACAAAAGCAGCTTGTCTTGAACTTTTCATTCATGTATTAGGGGCTTTAGTTTACCTCAGCAACCATCAGTATTCAGGCAGATTCTCCTACCAAAACTGAAGTCTGGATTACAAAACCAGTGGAAGTTTGAAGTACTGTTGAAGTTGCTTCTAGGGAACTCTGTACTTGAACTTCTTTTATGCCATTACTCTTGTTGGACAAAACTATTGTGAAAACTGAATTCTCAAGAGGTTTATGTTTGTGCTGCTGGCTGTGACCCTTGTGATAGGAGATCACTGGACTTTGGTTTTTTTTTGTTTTTTTTTGTTTTTTTCCTGTGGTTATTTCTTCTTCCTTTCAGTAATCAAAGGAAGGGGAAGGAAACTCTTAACTCTCTCACAGCAGCTTGTACTGGTAAAAAGAATACTCTTTTTTTCAGAGACCTACTGTATATATGCTGTATAACTATGGGTAGTGTTTGGATAGGCACTTTCTGGGCAAGTATTTTCATTATGGATTTCTCTCTGGATCAATATACCTTATATTGGATAAATCACAACCATTTTAGCCTTCTCTTAAGCAGATTTTTTAACAAAAAACTTTCTAAATCCCTTATAAATGGTGCTTAATTTGCCCTGATTTGTTCACAGGATTAGCAAAATTTTTCTTGTCAGATCACAATTCTGAGTCCTCAGTTTTCTGCTGTATTGTTCATATAAAAAGTTCACACAGTGCTTTACAAATAGATGAGGTATTCCCTCTCTCCCTTCATAAATCTTACCTGGCTAATATACTTTCTTAGACCACATACAGAGTTGAAAAAGAAGTTGGGAGCTCTTGGGCACAAAAACACTTCTCAGGTCTGAAATGCCAAGGTTTTATTTCAAATGTGAAGAGGAGATTGTGTGTCCAAAGTTTTTCTTCCAATATATTAGTAAGTCTAGTGAAAGATTTTTCTCTCCTTTGCAAGCCTTGTCCTGGCTCTGTCTTCATTTGTAGACAATCATATCTGCAGCAAATTGCTGATGCTTATTTGTTATGCAGTGGTTGCTCTGTGTGGTATTTTATAGAGCATGTAGCAAGTATTTAGCCTACAGTTGTTAAAGATTTCTTCAAAAGCGTTGTTAAAAATTTACTCAATTTTATATTTTTAAAAATTTTCTTCTACAGGGCTTGTCCTTTGCATGTTGCCAGTCCCAAATGCAAGGTGCCTATTTAAATCAACTGCTTGGGAACATTATTCAACAGTACTTTGGACGATTTCTTCCTTCTTCTCCAAGTGTGCTTGGAGCTGGGCAGCATCCTGTGCTGACTGCTTTATGCAGTTCCATCACAGCCCCCCAGGTGCTCCGACTACGGAAGACCACTCTGCATGTCATAAAGTAAGGACCAGTGAAGTAAAAAAAACATCATTTATTCAGGTTTCTCAAAGAGCTAATAAGAAAGTAACTCTCTTCTCAACAACTGATAGTTGCTCTGTGGGAAGAGCCTCTAAGTTGCTGGGCAGGGAACAAAGTAAGGAGAATGTGTCTAGAGCGGGAGAGAAAAATTGAGAAGATGTGGAGACTAGTGAGAGAGTCATTAACAATGGAAGTTCTAGACTACAAGAAAAAATATGGCATGGAGCCACATGAAAAGCAAGTATTTTTCTAGAAAAATTGTGCTTCAATAGACATAATCGTATGTTTGTGTCTCAGGCTGTATTTTTAGGGTCACAGAGGTGTAGTTGCCACAGTTATCTGCACATGGGAGGCCACATTGCTTTGTAAGTGTCAAGGTGCACATGGCTGTGCCAGCTACCCAGGGGAAAGGGAGAATTTGGGGTGTGGGAGGAAGAAGACGTAAAAGGTGGGGAGACAGCATTTGTTCACTTTTTCTTTGTTGAAGAGCGTGTATATGTGTTGATTAAAAGCATTTCAGTGTTGATCTTGGGTAAATACAATAGGCAATCCTGTAGGTAGAGCCTGTATTATCACATATTAAGGGAGGGAATTAAGATTTCAAAGTTTTAGTTCTGAAGTGTTTTCAATTTAGGAATATTCAGACTTCGTTATCTTAATGAGCTTATTTCTGAATATGTATGTACAAGCATGACTTTTAAGATGATAGTGAGAAGAAAGTTCTGAAAGTGTAATGGCACTTGGTGATTTGTAGGACATGAAACGTTCTTGAGTGATACAGAGAGAATGTGGCAGAACTGTGCAGCAATCTCGTCTGCAGACTGCTGGGAGGGTCAGGAGGCAGTCGCTGGCTCTGTCCCTCAGTGCGTACAGAGTTCATCAGCCATTTGCTATGTCCAAGCTACGGAATATCTTACTGCTGCACAAAGGAAGTGGAACCACATGGGCATGGGCATGGGCATACTGTCCAGGTCAGAAAACTTCTAGTGGAAGAGCACCCCCAAAAAAATTGGTGTGAAAGTTTCATAGTAAATTAATGGGATAGAAGATTTCAGAGTTGCTAATATTAAAGTGAGTTAAGACCACACAATACAGGAAATACAGAAGTAAAGTGCTTTCATTTGCTAAGCTACACCAGTGCTCTGGAGCTGCACAATGAAATTGTCAGATCTCTGAAAGTCAGGTTTCATTTGAAAGTTGTAGAATTACTCCTTATTAGGTTTTTAACAAGGATGGTGGGTTTTAATTGATGCATGTCTCAGAAAAAACGCATGCCTTGGTTGAGCAGCTAATGGCAATAGCTAATATTAAATATCTAAAGTTTTTTTGAAGGCTCTACAGGAGCTTTTGCTAACTGATGAACAAATGCTGTGTTCTTTTTGCTTGCACTTTTCTGTCCTGGATGCTTCAGTTCAAGTCAATGGGCTTACTATCTTCAGATTTCAGTGGAGTCATTTTTCATGTCAAATTAACAGTAGTACAGATCTTTTTGTATCCTTTTGCAGAAAAATAATTCAAGCTGTTTGGATTGGAACGTGCCGTGTGTATGATGTCCAAATTTGCTCTTGTTGCAGATTGACAGGTCACCTTTTATCTTTTGACAAATTTTATACAGGACACCATCGTGTTAAATGCAACAGAGCAAAAGCAGACATTGGCTGTCCTGTTAGAACATGCTGTTGACAAAAATAAAATAACAGTACCAGTATAACAGCAGAGCTGTTGTAAAAAGTTGGACTGTGGGTTGACAGAAGAAGATAAAGCTAAATAAAGTAATTGAACAACAGTTGTATTTTGGATATTGGTTTAGGGTCTTAGAATCTTGATTCTGCCTTTTTTTTTTTTTTCAGTTACTTTTTGAAGCTGCCTTTATATTTTAACTTTACAGTCACACTTGACTTTTTAACTATAATTATGATAGCTGTTATTTCTTCCTTCCCTCAACAGAAGAGTCAGAAGGCACTGCTGTCCTCTGATAAATTGGGAGTCTCTTCTAAGACTAAGACAAATAGAAGCTATTAGTTGAGCCTAGATAAAGATGGAAATCTGTGTAATAGCCCTCATGCTGAAATATCATAAAGTTATTTTAGCGTGTGCAATGCTTGCATTGAATGGAAAAAAAAAAAAAAAAAAAAAGAATTGCAGCCTCTGTTTTGGTTTGCTTTGTCTTCCCAGTGAAAACTACCTGCAGTTCAAAGGTCATGCTCCACCTCCTCGCTTGGCCTCTGTTCTTGGGTTCATTCTGGAGGTACTGCAGAGAACCCAGAGCACTGAACTGTGTGACATGGACTTAGTTCTCCCGGCTGTGTTGAAATGCATGCTGTTGGTTAATGAGCTACAAGGTGAGCTGCTCGTTTGCTCTGAATACATCTCTGCACACCTGTAAGATTTTTGTACTGCTAAGCATCTTTCATCTCAATATTTAAGACTCTTAGGTGAGGTGAAAGAGATACTTTGGCTAGATAAACTGGACAAGCTTTCTTTTTTTCATTAACTGGTCTGGTACTTCTGCCTCCAAGAGGCAGAGAAGTCCTGCCTGGTTTTGCTTTCTAATGAACTAATGATCAGCTTCTCAGAACCTTCTTCTCATCTTTCCTATCATATTTCTCCCAGACTGAATTGTGGAAGCTTTCTTGCACCTAAAGTTTTGAGACCAAATAAGGCTAGTGTATGCTCTCCCCACAGAGGCATCATAAAAGGATGAAAAGTAGCATGCTGCTCTCTGAAGGCATCTTCAAGGCTTCTTTCTTCTTTTAGCATGTTTTGTTTGGGAGTGAGAACTTCTTTATTTTTAGCTTCTTAAAACACGAAGGACTCTGTTCACCCCACAGGTGTATAACAAATGCACATGTGTGCATAAGCTCAGCACTTCTTGCTGCCAGTAGAGACATTGAGCAAAATGGGGACCCACGTCTCATTTCTCTGGGGAGTTTTGTTTTATAAAGAACTTTTTGATTCTGGTTTACAGAAGTTTTGGGATAAGATGTTCTTAGGATATTAGCTGAATCATCCCATACCTTTCTTCCCCTTTTTGCCATCACAGCCCTATCTGCTTGAAGCTGAGAGGACCTTCTCTGCAATGTGTTGTGGAGTAGAAATGAGCTGAATACCTTGTGCTGATGTAGCCACCAGCTCACTGCCTGCCTAGACAGGGCTCCACCAGACCCTTGCAGAAAAGTCCTTGCAGCCCAGTTCCACCTTTAGAAAGGAAGAGCTCTATCTGGTAACTTTAATATTTATTTAGAAACAAGGTGAAGAAAATAGTGGGGGTTTGTGTTTTTTTTTTCTTTTAAAAAAAGATGTAGGGTAGAATTCAGAACAGTGTCTACCATTGAAAATAAAGAGTAGATCTCTGTAGGTTTGGGCAGGATTTAATGCCAAGGCTGTTTTTCTTTAACTCAAACAGGAATGATTAAAGAATACAAGAACTTAAATAAAACCCTCTATTTCCCATGTGTGTCTCTTCACTTTGACATAAAGAGATCATAGTGTACTTAAAAATCTGTATGTTTAAGGATAATGGTGGTGAAAATAAGACTTTTGCATAAATCTGTGATTCATTCTGCTCTTTATAGCCAATCTAACTGCTCTCACATTTCCTTTGCATCAAAGTAAGATAAAACCTTATTTTTCCCTCTCATTTAAAAATTCTAGTCTTCATGAAAGACATTCTCCAGATGGTCAGTCCAAGAGCTCTGTGTGAATCTTGTACTTTTTGTTTTTACAGTTAAAAAAATATCTACAGACATTGTACAGTACATGGTAGAAGGCTGCCAAGCAGGGTCAGGAGGAGAACATGCCACCCAGCTGACTTCTGTATTTAGGTAACCAGAAAATATGCCAGTTGGCACTGAAGCTACTGCATGCCAGTTGACAGCAAACATGGTTTTTAAAAATAACTAATTATCCTTAACATACTGCATTGTCACTTGTTTATGGTATTTAAATAACGGTGCTCTTGGCACTGGTTTTAAACATAGCTTGGCCAAAAAGCCAGAGGAAAAAAAAAGCAGAAGAGAGAAACAAGATGTGCATGCCTAATTTAAAGTGTATATAATAGAGATTAAATCCTCATACAACAAGCTTTACTTTTTTAAAATTGATTTGATTAATTTGATTTTTGATTAATAAATCACATATTATAAAGGCAATTGTACTTAACCCATACCTCTGCAAAGTGAATCTTGTTTCTCATATGGGTGCTGTAGAAGAGCTACATGACCTGAGACATGATGACATTCTGCAAACGTAAGAACCGGTGCTCTGTTGGGTCATGTCTAGATCAAAGCTCCAGAGTGACTCAAATAAGAACAGATGCTTGTGAGCATGCCAGTGTTCCTCTGTGATCCATCACTTTCATGGGATGTTTCATCCCAAGGGAGTTACTTCTGATTTAAATGTATTTTGTGGTCTTTAAAGGCCTCAAAGCCTCAGGAAGACAAATAGGGGCATTTTGTCCAGTGGTCTGTCCAGTGGAGCTTTATAAGAAATGCCAGGTATTTCTGCAGACTTGAATCTAGATCTCTTGCTTTGCTGGTCTTTATTATTTCTTACTAAATAATATATACATGTTTTAGTTTTGCATTCAGACACATTATAAAGTAAAGTGCTCTGGAATAAGTCAGCCATGGTGAAACAGCAGCATAATCTGACAACTTGGTTGAAAATAAATGTGTGGGATTTTTAGCATTAGCCTTCAAAAGCATGGCTTCATTTAAAGAAAGTATTCCATGCAGATAATTTCAGGGTAACAATATGAAAATTGCCATGCAGCCAGATTGCTTGTTCTGATTAGACTCCCCAGTTGTTCTTGGCATGTTCTCTGCATCTGGTTGTGACCTTGCATGAAATGCCTCTGTGTGCCCCTCAGGCAGTTTATCCAGGACTATGTTGCTGTGTATGATCACCGAGTTCTCAGCATACTGGAGGCAGTGGCAGTCCTGGATCAGACGTTGGTCACCAGCCTGATTCCCACCATCACACAGGCTCTGAAGGAGTCGGAGCGCAAACAAGGTCTTGGAAGAAATGCTGCACAGAGGTTTGATTTTTTTTTTTTTTTAATTATAATTTATTATTCGGTTTATTTGATTTTTACTTTTTCTGCCAATGAACAGTAGAGGTTTATTCTCTTGAAAGGAAGCAGTGTTAGACAACAGAACAGGTACTCAAAAATTAGTGATTGTTTGTTTGTGTTCGGCCAGAAATCTCCCTTTGCTCAGGCCTGCCATGGTTTTAAGCCATCTATATTTGTTAAGTATTTTCAATTATATCATTTTATATAATTATTTGATAATTTCAGATATGACCCATAAAGTCCTCTGGAACAGGGACTGACAGGAAAATTCTTTGGGCAGGAATTCTTCTTTACTTTGTTTTGCAACATAGAACATAGTGAGCAGAGGCAACCTGGCTTTGGATAAATTCTGCTGGGGTCTGTAGCCCTAGTGCCAGACAGAAGTACCAGAATATGTAGGATTTTCGTACTATTTGCTTTTGATCTTTTGATAATGTGTTCTTTTTTTATACATATACTGTTAATAAGGTAAAAATTCACTCATTTACCTAAAAAATCTGAAAAAAAAAAAAGCAAGTTGTTTGAGCTTCCTGAAATACATGCTTGGAGATTACTGAAGAGCTAAATTTATTTTACCATCATCACTTAATGTATATATTATCTAACCCGTTGTTGATGCTTTGTATTAATAATTTATATTTCAAATGTGCTCCATTACACAGCAGTCGAAGGTGATCCATGAACATTTTTTTTTTTTGTAAGAGCACCACTGATTTTTCTGTCTAGAATCCTGGCTACTAGCTAACATTATATTAACATATTTTGTGCAATTATTATTATTTGTGCAATTATTATTGTAGGCATTAAACTGCAAACCCATATATGTCTGTTATATATGTATAAGTAACAAATTTCAGAAGTTGCATTAGATAATTATAGTGTTGATGCCCAGTATTATTATTGCAAGGAACTAGTATGAAAACTGCAGTTTTGTTTGCTCAAGTTAATATTTCATGAAAAAATATGTATAATTAGACTAGACCTAAATGTCAGAGGCAGTACTTTAACAATAATTATATTGTCTAGTTTGGAGATTATTAGAATGAACTTCAGGTGAAGAGCTTTGCCAATACATACACACTCTTCTGGAAAATCCACTTGAGTGACAGTCCCCTTCTGAATTCCAGGTTTATTTTAAAATAGTTGTTGCCCTTTGTTGAGGATGATGGTCTCAAATCTGTGTCAGTGCCAGTCTGCACCCTCGTGCCAGTGGTCACGTCACTGTGCTGTAGCATGAGTCACAGAAAGATTTCTTATGCAGAAATCAGGTAGCAAACATGATGAAGTCTGAATGCCAATGTTTTAAAATAAATAAATAAATAAATAAAAGAAACCCCACAGCATTTTGTTAAACAAGTAGATTTGTAAGCAGCTTCACTACACTTGTAGCCATAAACAATGCCATCCTTATTCTTCTTCCAACCTGGCTGTGCTAAAAATTCACAGCAAACAAAGCAGTTGAATAGGTGAGGAGGAGGAGAAAATTAGTGTGTTTAATATCCAAATATGTAAACAGTGTATTTGGGAATTACGTGCTTTTACTCCTAGGATGTGTGAGATTAAGTTACATGTTATGTTCTTTTGTGTTTTTTTTTTCAACAGAGAAGCCTATAAAAGACTCTTATCTTACCTCGCAGAGGCTGGACAAAATGAGATACAAAAGCTGGAAAATGAGACAGGTTAGCAGCGTGCTGGTGATTAATCCTTCCCTCTTGGATGTTCTGACACTGTCCATACCTGAAACTACACTCTACCACACGCCAACCATGTTTTTTTCCTTTACAATGGCAACACATTTATCAGTTCTGTGGGTTTTGGTTGGTTGGTTTGTTGGTTTTTTTCCCAAGTTATGTATTAATTCTAATAATTTCTGTGATATTTGAACATTGTCATGCATGTGAAGAGTAACACAATATACTGTTGAATGGGGACTGAATGATACAGCAAATTTGTTACATGCAATACAGGCTCTGTATTAATATACAAGGTAGGATTTTTAAAGAATTAAAGTAATATCACAGCTCAGTTCACATTGAGAGAGGCCTGGCCCTATTAACACTCTACTTTTGAAGAATTTTATTCAGTATTGTCTTAAGAAAATCATAACTTTGTAATTTCTAATTTATTATTTTACTAGAATGAGAAGAACCTGTGACCTCTAGTACTGTACCTGTTGAAGGCAGTGTGTTCACCAGGAGCTGTGCCAGTACCACAGAGCTGCCATTTGTTAAGAGAGGGCTTGTGTACATGTGGCACAAAATGTACACAGCTCTCTGAACCTGCCACCCCTATTAAAACATTAAAGTCTTTCAGATTCCTGTGTGAAATCTCTTCTGTTGTCATTGTGGGTAAAATATGAAAAGGCAGGTTCAGATTTCCTGTTCTCTTCCTTTTCAATACTATGCTCTTAACATTAACAGATAATTCTTAACCTATAATTTCCAGTGTCCCAGGGTATTTAATTAATCCCATTTTTATTAATCATGATGTTGCTAATTATCCATTTAACTTACACTAGGTGTAAACGGTGTGAGAAAAAAAAAAAAGAAAGAGGACAGACTTCTAAAGAAAATACTTATTTGGAGAGTTCATGCTTTTTGATCATAGGCTAGTAATTATTCCTTGTTTGCTTCAAAAGTTGGATCTTTCAAATATTTGCTGAGCTATGGGTTATCTTTTCAGTCTTTCCACAACAGGTCTAGCTCTGTAACTTCTACATTTTTTTTTTTTGTCCCCATGAAGTTCTCAGGAAACTTTCATTACTGGCTGTGGTATTTGCATTTTTCACTTCCCTCAATAAACCTGTATTTCTGCAACTACTTATGGGACTTTGGGAGTGGTAAGTTTGCCCTTAATGGCAACACTGATGAACAGGCTGCTTACTTTTCAAGTTACTCAGATTTTAACTTTATGATATTAATGGGAAGGAAAGATTATTTTTGTGTCTAATAGCTCTGCAAAAATCCTTAAAATCATGTTCAGAGCAGCTTCTCTTTCGTTACAGTGATCTTATCAAGTCGAAGTAGATAATCTTTTTCCCTAAATCAGCTATCGTTACTTCAGATAATGCAGTAACTAAAAGCCTCTTTAGGCTACTTAATAGTGCAGAACATGGAGGCTCTTTTCATTATGAAAGTGACTTATTGAACTTGCATTGTAGCTTCTTGTAAGCTTCTGTAACTGGGAGGAGTTTTATTCATCACATGAGGATTGTGCTTCCTAAAAGCTTTTAGAAAAAATAAATTAAAAAAATAAAAACCTCTCCACGAGGGATTAATAGAGATGTCTTTGACATTTGAGTGCTACAACACAGTAAATTACAGAACAGACATCTGACTGTAGTATTGCTTCCTGAAAGTAAAACCTTTGACTTCTAAGGATAGACTAGTTATTATAACAAAAAATTTAATGATGTGTTTAGTAGGACGTTAAAGACATATTTAATACCAGTTGGGAGTTTCTGAAAGAGCAACAGGGCTGTATGTAAATGTGTGGCAGCTCCTGGTGCATGAGAAACTAATTTAAGCAGTTTGGAAATTATCATTCTTCTCTGTCAAAAAGTTAATGCAAACAGGAATAAAGCGTTTTGCATCGTATTCATCAACCACTGCCAAATGGGCAATCTGGTTTGGTTTAATTATTTGGTATGGACATTTGCAGATGTGACTGACAGTTCTGATAATATTAATGAGATGAAGGCTTGCAGAGTGCTTGTGTAGATTGACTTACCAAGCATACACCGAAACAAGAATCCAGAACCAGTTAGGAGGAAAGAAGTCAGTCCTGATTTTAAGTACAATATAGAAAAAGACTGAAAACCACGATGAAATAAAATAAATTATGTATTATGTGTGATTAGATGATGTCTGTATAAAGACTAAGTCCTAAGTAGGACTCTGGACATTATTTAAATTAAACCTTTCCATATTATTTTACATATGAATAGTTTGGCTTAAAAACAGTATGAATGTCTAGCTTCCTTACCCAATGCATGGAAAACTGCTTAAGCTAAGAGCAGGAGATCCTGGAAAGCTTTCACACTGCTTGCCACCACTGGCAGGAGCAGTTTGTCTGCATATAGATGCAAAGTCTGCCTCTTCACTGTGCTTGAGAAACAGCAGGATAGAGCCTTGCTGTAAATCATGTGAAGAGGAGATCTGAAAATAAGACTTTCACCTACTGGTGAGTGGTATCTTTAACCTCCATCAGGAAAGGAGCTCATCCCCTGCCAAGTTTGCTTTCCTCTTCTTCCTCCACCAAAGGACTCATCCCTGTGGTCCTTCGTGGAAGGCTGACAATGGTGGGTGTGTGCTGAGGCATCTGTATTGGACCATGTGGAGCAGAAAGAAGCAGCAGCTGGGCTGTTAGTTCTGCCCCAGGGGTCAGTAGCCCGGCAGTGCGGAGCTTGGCTTCTTGGGCAGCTGAGAACATCACCACAGGGTTTAGCCAGCAGGTACCTCAGCGTGCAGTGACTTTGGACAGAAGATAAGCAGCTCCCTAATGTCATACTTACTTAGGCCTCTTGCTTCTGAGCCACTGTCCTGCCAGTGCTCATGGGCACTTTGTAAGCATTTTAAATCTGAACTGGAGCCAGCAGACACTTTGGTGTTACTCCACAGTCATATACCCACCTCAGAGGCTCAGTGAGAGTCTCTGCACGGTGGGAGTTGGGACAGGAAATTTCAGACATCTGTTGTCAAGGCTGTATAGGGAGAAATCCAGAGAGCATTGGGACAGAAATCCTCTGCAGACCACAGGGTGCAGACGTATCGCTGCCTTGCACAGCCTTACAGGTTTTGGAGTCTCTGTTTTTCAGAAGCAATGAATTACCAAACGCTTCCACCAGTGCTGGGCAGTTGTCTTTGCTGAGCCATTTGCAGGATGATCTGCTGGCCACTAATACAGGTCAGATGCCTGTTGTCCATTTTATGCCAGCTGAGTGTCACAGCAAATCTATTAAGCAAGGCTTCCATGAGTGTGTGACAAGACTGTTGATTACAGGAAAAAGATCATGTCTCAAGTCTGTGATGATTTCCAGCAGATGGAGAAAGGTATGTCCCAAGATCACTTTCCTAGAGACAAATACTAAGCCTTACTCTGTATCTAATAAGACTGGTAATTAATTTGAGTTCTGTCACTGACTGCAGAGAAAACAACAGAAATTGCTGTTTGGATGTCACCAACCCTAGACCACAGCAGCTGGGGGGGGGAGGGGGGTGGGGCATGGTTTTGGGGGCCAAACCTTAAAGTAGCTAGCTGCTTGCAACAAAAAAACTGAGGAGTGTGGATTTGCCAGGGCATCTGCACTACAATTATACAACAGTGAGAGTATTTTTACTTATTCATTCGAGCTGTTTGAGAAGATAACGGCTGTTTCTACCAGCTTATAGAAAATATGGTAGTTGAGATCATGCTGCTTTGTATTGTGTGTGGATGCAGACCTGTGCAGTGGGACCTTTGGCTATTTGTTTGCTCATGTTTATATCAAGCACCAGAGTGTGACCTAATGCAGATGTCTAGGACTTGTGAAGCTATTCTGTTGCACACTGAAAGCTGACTTCCACAAAGAACTGTTCAGTTAGCACCTGAGCAACTGGCTGGTATTAGAGAAGCACGCATTCGCCTGATGAAAACCTGTGTGGTGATCACTAACTTGCAATCGTCATATGAACACAAGACCACCATAGCTCTCCATTTATCAATCCATGATTTTTAACAGTCCTGGGGAGGAGATTCTCCACCTCTACTCCACTCTTGTGAGAACCCACCAGAGATTCAGACTAGATGGAAGAATTTTTTTTACGATGAGGGTGTGAAACACTGGCACAGGCTCTCGCCCAGAGAGGTGGTGGATATCCCAGCCCTGGAACCACTGACACTCAGGTTCATTTGGGCTCCAAGCAATCTGATCTAGTTGAAGATGGACCTGCTCCCTGCAGGGGTGTTGGGACTAGATAAACTTTAAAGGTTCCTTCCAACCTCAACTATGCTACAATTTACAGACCTTATTGATATATTTCATTTTACGTTCAAACATTAGCCTTGAAAAACAACCCTATTGTTTAGGATTGAACAATCCTAAACTATTGCTGTTTGGACAGAGAGACACCACTGCAGTTCTTTTACTCACCTCATGGAGGCTTTTCTGTCTGCTCACACACAGGCTTGGAGCAACAGCATTCCTAAGACCCCCTACCCAGGTTCTTGTCCTTCCTTCGTTCCCTTCTTTTCAGGGAGCACCAGCCCACGCATGCTGCTGTTGTGACTCCCATAATTAAGGGTGATAAGATCCTGAAAGTAAAGTTGTAGCTGGAGTACCTAATGAAATTCAGAGAAATGTCAACATATACACCTGAGCTCAGTCCTACTCCCCTTCTGTATAATGAAAAGTTGGTGGTATTAAGCCGTTTTGAACATTGATTAATTACTCTAACTACAGTATCACCTTATGTCAATGGAATTTTAACAAAATACTACATTTCAGTAAGCTTTTTCTATCCCCAAGCCTGGTGTGTGGTCTATGCCCAGCATCTCCTTTTGTTCAGAAGCAGTACTACTGTTGGCAGGAGACCTGCTTAACGTACAGCAGCTTTGCGAGCACTGTCTACTCTGACCTCATTGGCCAGAGGGATATCCCAGGATACATCCCCTTTTCTTTTTTGCAGTATGTAATAATTAC